CCGCTTGCACCCGTCTCCAAGCCTTCCGCAGTGTTTGAGCAAGTGCTCAGGAAGCCCAGGCTTGATCCAGGTGCCAGGGTTGGTGCAGATCGGGACAATGTTCTGAGGCGTTGGCTTTGTGTCCTCAGCCACGAACCGTCTGCATCCGAGCTAGGAGGCCTCATCTGGAAGGACGGAGAGAAAGATCCTTTAGGAGTGGTGTCTCAGGCATTGGCTGGGAAGGCCACCGCGACTCTGCTTAAGAGAGTCCGCTGCTGTGCAAGGTTCATAGAGTGGGGTCGGGATCACTCCACTGCCGTTTTCCCGGTGACCCTCGATTTTGCCATAAGTTTTCTTAAACCCCTCGCTGCCAGCAAGCAGAGCAGCGCCATCAGAGAGACGCTTGAAACCTTCAACTTCCTTCAGCATGTTGTGGGGATGAAAGTTGAGCCTGGTATCATTGCCAACCCATGGGTCAAGGGTGCCGTGCGAGGAGCCAACATAAGGACGTCGGACCCCCGCAGGTCGAGGGTCCTCACAACGTCCGAGGTGCTTCTTCTTGAGACTGCCCTCATCGAGGGGCATCATGATCGTGTGGATCGGTATGCAATCGGTGCTTTCTTGTTTCAGCTCTACGCACGGGCGAGGGTCTCTGATCTTCGCAACATTTCCAAGCTAGAACTTGACCTGAACGACGGTTCCGGCTTCATCGAGGTTCGCACTTATGAGCACAAGAATTCTAGGCTCGGCAGCGGGGCTGGAGCTGTGCTGATTTTGGTTGCGCCGTATCACGGGCTCCACGTTCAACCTTGGGGGCAGGCGTGGGTGCAAGCTGCAACAGCCGTAGGTTTCGCCTTTGACAAAGGGCACCGGGGACCGATCCTCCCGAGGCTGTCGAGCGACTACAGTTGGAGTGGGGATGCGACCGACGCCAACGAGACCACTCGCTGGTGCCGTGGGATTCTTGCTCAGCTCACTGGAGGCTCCATCGATGAGACTTTCTCGAGTCACGGCCTAAAGGCTACTCCTCTCAGCTGGACATCCAAAGCGGGATACCCAGAGCGCACCCAGCTGATTCTAGGGCATCATTCGCTGGGATCCACAGGAAAGACTCAGGAGTCCTATGCGCGTGAGGTTCAGGCGCAGCCTCTACGTGACCTGGTGGAGTGCATCGCTGCAATCCGACGAGGCCTGTTCCACCCAGACCGGACGCGCAGCGGCATGGTCACGCAGGGCGCTCTGGGATCTCACTTCAAGCTCGGTGGAACCGGTGCACACGACTTCGTGTGTGCTCCTCCCTCCGATTCGGCCCCATCAAGTGCACGTGAGCCTGCACCAGTGGAGGCCCTTCAAAGCTCGCCGCACGAGGAAGCAGGGTCTCCCACTAAGGATGGGGAAGCATCTTCGGGCTGCCAGGATGAAGTGGCTGATCCCCAGAGTGAAGAGTCCGAGAGTTCTGGAGACTCCGAAGGGGACACCGTCTATGAAAATTTTGGTAAAGGGATCACACAGGATGCGATCCCAGATGTGAACATGGGCCCAGATCTTGATCTCTTCCAAAACCCGAAGACCAAGAGCTTGCATGCGCGAGCGAAGGGCTCGACTGGCAAGCTGATCTGTGGCCGATCACTTGACAACATGAAGACCTTTCAAGGAAAGGTTTTCAGTCATCGCTGGATGTGCAAACAATGCATTGCAGGGCGTCCTGTGCGAGACATAGGTGCCCTTAACTCTTTCCTGGCCAAGAAGCAGGGAAGGTCTGCTTGATCGACTCAGGAAGCCGTGGAAAATGATGCAAGAGCGGCAGGGTCAAGCAAGGTGCATCGCGATTGGTTTGTGTTACCCAAACGTCGTCAGAGTTCGGAGCAACTCTGACGCTCATTGCCGCAATGAGTGGTTTGGCGAACCAAGTCGGATGTTACCTCAGAACCATGCCACTTTGTCAGTGTTCCTCAACGGGGAGAGGTCGGTTCAGTGGGACCGGGCATCCGTGGTGAATGGCACCAGGGCCGTTGAGCTGACAGTCGTGGGCAAGGTTTGCAGAGGGCGCCAGTTTCAAGCTGTTGAGTGCATTTTTTCCTGCTTGGAACATGAGAACTTGCTGCTCGTGTGAGACACGTGCATGTCGTTCCGAGACGTTTCTCCCCAAGCTTTGTCCTAGGCCTGCGGCACCATGGCTCAGACTTTGGTTGAATCCAAAGCTGTTTTCCTTGAGAGAGCAAGCCGGGTTGGGTTGCCTGATGAGGCCGTCAAAAGGCTCGTGGATCAGGGCATCGACACGATGTCGAAGCTAGCCTTCGCTCCGTGTCAGCCAGGCGAGACTCCATCAGAGGAGTCGTTGACCGGCCTGATTCAGACCGAAGGAGCAGAGCCGTCGAGGGGCTCGATCGCGGCCGTTCGCCATTTGGTCTTTGAAGCGCAGACCTTACTAGTGAGCCAGACCAAAGCCCTGGTCGAAAACCGGGAAGCAGAAACCAAAGATCTTGCGCCGGCTGAGCGCAGGGAGAGGATAAAAACCCAATCGCAACGATTGGCAGGCATCACCATGTCCGGTCAGAGTGAGTGCAGTTTCGCATCCTACGACTTATGTATGAAATTGCTCACTGAGAACTGTGTTTCTTACCTGGCGCCATCGAAATTTATCACGCGAGAGGCTGAGCTGCGTGCTGACAAACCTCGCAAGGAGCTTGACCTCCAGCACTCGACTCTCATCGTCAAGGAGAGAGAGCCTGACCAAGTGTGTGATACCTCTACTGCCCTCAGCCTCCATCACGCACTTCACCGCCGCAGCCTCGCCCTGGACTTAATCGGGGTCACTGACTACTTCAAGGTCCAGGCCTTTGTGGATTTTCTGATGGCACATCTGCACAGGAGCCTGCCGCAGGCAGTCGCGCCACTACAGTCCAACAGATCCTGTTGGCCGACCGTGCTGCCTGGCTTCGCCTCTCAGAGCTCACGCCAGATGGGATTAGGCGCGACGAAGCCGGCCGGTTGCCGCTTGATCCGCTGTGGAAGCGACTTGAGACGGACCCCAAGGTTATCTTTCACCTTCTCCCCCGTGAGGGCAGCACCACGGGTCCAGCTAAGCGCACCGGTGAGCATCTTGGAGATTCCGAAACCCCCTCTCCAGGCAAGAAGCAGCGCAAAGGTAAGGGCAAGGGGAAAACTAAGACCCAGAAGGAGCCAGCCAACCTGCCCGAGGAGCTTAAAGGCTTGTCCTCCTGGACCAAGACCGGCAAACGCCGTTGTTGGGGCTTTAATATGCAGGTCGGATGCGCCAATGCAAAGGTGGGCCAGGCTTGTCCGCGAGGACTTCACAACTGCATGCGATGCGGGGGGCACCATCCGGCCCATGCCTGTCCCAAGAAGCCCTGAAAACTAAGCCTGCCCGAGGCGCCTGATCTTCAACAGTCTTTTCCAGCCGCGAAGGAGGACGATGTGGATACCGCTGGAGCAGCCTTGGAGGCTGCCCCCGCCCCTGCTTCTGCACTACCCTCCCCTGGCTCCGCTCAGCCGCTGTCCAGCTTTTTCTGCGTTGAAGTTTTCGCGGGTTCGGGCAGGCTTTCTGCCGAGTTGAAATCTTCAGGTTTTCGAGATAGTGTTGGGGTCGATCACGTCGTTCCTAAGCACATTGTCTCCCCAATTGTCAAGCTTGATCTTCTGGAGCCAGATTCTGTACAGATGCTCTTTGACATGATCGATTCTCCGTTTTGCATTTCTGTGCACCTAGCGCCGCCCTGTGGCACGGCCAGCCGTGCACGTGAGATATCCGGCCGGCACATGCCTCAGCCCGCCCGTTCCGAGGTACACCCCGACGGGCTACCCACCCTGCAAGGACCCCTGCTCGACCGCGTACGCAAAGCCAACCAGTTGTATGGTCTAGCGGGTCGCATTTTCTCACACTGCATGCGCACAGGCAAACTGGTTTCATGCGAGAACCCAGCCAACTCGCATTTCTGGAATACTTCCTTTTGGCTCCTGGAGACTGATCAGCTCCCATGGCATGATACGGTTTTTCACCATTGCCAGCATGGTGGGCAGCGTGCCAAGCTCACCCGCCTGCGCCACAACACCCCTTTGATGTCCGAGCTTGCCCTCCTCTGCCCGGGCGAATCCCCTGAGCATCGCCATCTCCCCTGGACTCGCTTCCCCGCAGGGTTTGCCACTGCTGACGAGAAGGTCTATCCTCTTGTTTTGTGCCGCCGCATTGCCGACATTGTCCGGCGTTCAGTTGCTGCTCTGGGCATTCCACTGCCCCCTCTTGCCCTCGAGCCTGGCGCCTCATCCCCTGCACATGAGGCCCAGGCCGCTGCTGGCCACCAGCCTGCTGGCAAAAAGTTACCGCCCCTTGTGCCCGAGTTCCGACAGGTGTTGGTGCTTCAGTGCCCTCGCCCTCTGTTTGTGGGCGTGCGCAAGCTTGATACGACCTTCGACATCCCAGCAGATGTCTCTTGCACTTCTGCCATTCAGACCTTGCCTGCCGGTACCCGTGTCCTCCGGCACAGTGTCGTGGGGCATCCCGGTGCCGCCGAGGACCCGTGCCCCGCCGTTGAATCGAGCCAGGACCCCATTGAGATGGGGCCCGCGGAATTTTCGCACTACGGATTGCAACTTGGCACCACTGCTACCAACTCCTCCTGGCGTGAAAGCATCATTCATTTGTGTGATCTTCTCCGTTCCGACCCCTTAGCCAGGGGAGGCTTGGGCAGTGACGAGTTCTCTTGGACATGCGGGGCCTACACGCATGCCAATGTTGTGGGCCTCCGGAAGAACACTTCCTCACACCCCAATGTATGCAAGTTTCTGTGCGAGTATGTTCGGAGGGTCGCGCCCGGCCATCCATTCACATCTATCATGCTGGGCAGAAACCTTCAGGGTGATGTTCACATCGACAAGAACAATGCTGTAGGGCTACCCAATGCTGTGCTCAAGATCTCTGACTTCGACAAGGGCGGCATCTGGATAGAGAGCCCGGGAGGAACAGTCAAGTGCCCTTCCCCAAATCGTCCCGATGCCCTAGGAGAAGTCATTGATTTCCGCAACGACAGGATTTTCTTCAGTCCGGACTGCAGGCACTGCCAAGCCCCGTGGGAAGGGGGACCTCGAATAGTTTTGGTTGCTTATACCATTCGCAACTTCGAGAAGCTGGGGACAGAGCATGTGGGTCGCCTCTCGGAGCTTGGTTTCTGTTTACCTGCCACGGAACTGCAGACCTCCCCGGGCAACGTGGAACTCCCAGTGCACACAGACACTCCTGTTCCCCCCCTTTCGGGTCTAGGTCCTT